AAAATAACAACAGTGTCGAGGCAAGCAAAAATTAATTCAAATTCGTGCGAGTTTATGTAAATTTACTTTTATCCCAAAACACTTTTACACAGATGGGCGTCGAAGCAATAATAACAACAACAATAACAGACAAAACAGCCGAAAGAGATAAATCGAAAGTGATGACTAAACAAACACCGCAAAAGCATAAAATAAAGACAACAAATAGGTATGACTTGCGAAAGCCACAGATATTTTTGAATATGTATGTGTAAGTGTATGTATATAAATGTGTATTGTGTGTTTGTATATGAAAAGCGATGTAGCTGAAAAATGAAAATCTCTAAATGTAAAGCCTCGTGGCGTACGCGTGCTTTTACTGCATTACCGCTGCCACCACCTGACTTTGCTTTTGTCGTTGCCATTTTTAGTGTCCTAGGCATGGCCGAAATTTCATTATACAGCATTTTTGCGAGCGTAAAAGCAAACAATAAAAAAATTACCAATAACGATGACGAAACGACAAGCATTAAATGTCGACGATGCGTAGGTGGGCAACGTGTAACAACAACAGCAACAAAATGAGCAACATAGCGGTAGAACGGTAGAACATGCATGCACAGTTAGCAAAAGGTATATGCTGCTGTTGTGGGCGTGTGTGTGTGTGTGTGTGGCGCGTTAGTGGTCGCCTGCGACATGAAGTCAATAACTGAATGCATAAAAAATAACAGATTCGCATGTTTCATTTGAACAAACAACAATGTCTGCAAACATTACAGTATACAAACACATACATAGACACTTGCAACCAGAGGTGAGTGTATCTGTGCTGGCTTTAGTGTGCGCACTAGTTGATATGTCAAAACCAATTTGCTTAAGCTGTAGCCTCTGTCTGCGCTGCAAAGGTGCGTCAGCGTTGCTTGACGCAGCAAGTAATTAATTGAATTATTTAATATTGTTAAGCAATTGTAAGTTTTTCGCGTGTTTTCTACTATTTTATGGAAGTTTTCAAGACAATAAAGGCAAAATTGTTAAGTCGAGCGTATAGGAAATAAAAATGGTTTAATAGTCTTAACTTAGACTTGCGAAGAGCTTAAGAAATTATTCTATAAAATATCATTGGAAGACCGTTATACTTAAAACTTAGAGGAAAGCAAGAAAAAACTTTGTTTTCGGTTGTACCACAGCTATAATAACCTTCACAAATAAAAAAGTTTCGATACAAGAACTTGATTTTCAACGGTCAGTTTGTATGAAAGCTATATGCTATAGTGGTTCGATCTGAACAATATAATCGGAGATTATAGAGAAGTCTTGCACAATAATCCATGCCAAAATTACATGAATATATATTGTCAAATAAAAAAGTTTTTCATACAGAAACTAGATTTTCAACGGTCAGTTTGTATGACAGCTAAATCCTATAGCAATCATATTTCTACAATTTAATCGGAGATTATAGCATTGCTTGAGACACTAATCTGTGCAAAATTTTGTAAAGATATCTTGTGAAATAAAAACCATTTTCATACACTTGATTTTCAACGGTCAGTTTGTATGACAGCTATATCCTCTAATGATCCGATATATCGGGTCTCCGACATTTCCTTCTTGGTGTTACAAGCTTCATGACAAACTTAATATACCTTGTTCATGGTGTAAAAATTAGGAAAAAAGAGCAGGGCTGAATTAAATAAAAATTATAACAAATTTATAAAGTAACCGAACTAATTTTTTTGTCATAATTTAAACATTGTCCCCTACCAACTTCCTACACATTTATTGTGTCGCATATACATATAAAAAGAGTTTCAAAAGGACTTTGTCATTGAACTGTCACGTAAATATTAACATCAATCAATCAAACAAAAATGTAAAAGCGAAAAAGGCGTAAGTGGCCAGGTGAAAAAAGGAAAGGAAGACTGTATTGAATTTTTGGCCTGTGGATGTATTTATAAATGTCCACAACTTGAATATATATATTTTTATCACATTTTGTATAGAGAATAGTTTGAAAATATAATACATTTTTCACAAAAAATTTGAGTTAAACTACATTAAAAAGCCTGTGTAGGCTTTCAATATTGCTACATATGACTTAAATCGCATAAAAAAATATATACAAGTACGAAAGAACTGAAATCAATAAAAAAATTCTTTAAATCAATCTAAAATCAATTCATAAAAATATTTTTCTAATTATGTTATTTTTATAGTTTTGAAATTAAAAATTATTAAAAAGTAATAGAAAAAATGTTCATACATAATATACTTAAGCTATTGGAAAAGCTATCATACCACCCAATAAAAATTTAATTTTGTTAAAAAAACATTATATTTTTCATAATAAAATATAAATTTTCATACAAGTAAATAGTTGAAAATCGAATGAAGCGTAAAATATATAAATATTTTATAAAACATTATATAAAAAATATATATGGTATTATTACTATACATACATATGTACGTATATTATAAATAATATCTATTATATAAAAACATTTGGTGTGTGTCTTTGCTTAAATGCGCCTTATTGTAGGCAACACTTTTTCGCATACTGGTGTCACTCACATAGCACAAAAAAAAATGTCGTCCGCTTTCAAACTGATCTAAATCTTAAATATTGGTGTATTGATAATAAAATGCTAGCAATAATTTCTAAATGTATACATTGTAATCATTATTCACCGTATAAACATAGTGGGTGTATAACTTCACTTATATAGAATGCTTCTAATTGCAGGCAAAACTTTCCATATTTCAATTTTGCCTTAAAATGAAAATTTAACTTAATTTTATGCTGATTACAAAATCTAAAACTTTTTTTTCAAACAAAAATTTTTTACTATTTGAGAAATTTCAGTACTAAATTTGATTTAGTAGATGTCATTAATTATCCACAAATTCAAGACTCAATTTCTGTGACTATTTAGGAGTTGAGCAAAAAGTGTTCCTTAAATTTAAATATCGTTTGGTGATAAGCTTTGTCCAGAAACAAGAATATATGGTATATACTAAATTCTGCTTCTTTTTCCAACACATATTCAAGGTAGTTAGGGCGAAGTGCAATACTAAAACGTAATGCCGCACAAAAGTCTTTAATTAGCATTTAGTTTATGTGCCCCTTTTTACGAAAGCTACACAGTATTTGTTCACTTGTTCGCTACAATTTTGCAGTTGCTTTGTTTTGTAATTTATAAGCCGGTTAACAATAACTGAAATGTACAGCAAACATCAAAAGTTACTGAGTATGCAGTGCCAACTACAACAATGCCCTTTTTCCGATTTTGTTTGCTCTGTTGAATTTCTGTATTATTTACATTTTCGTTACTTATTTCGCTTGCCAATCTCAATTATGCGCCCCTTTTTCATGTTCAACGATAATTTACATGTTCAATGCGTTAACCAAAGCATATCGCTTACAACTTTTTCGCTCACACGCATCCACATTCGCTACACTGTCATTTATCTTTTCCTTGTCTGCTGTTTTACTCTTAGGCAGATTTTTTTTTCAATTCTTTGGCCACCTTTTCGGCTTTTGTTCACCATTACTCGTGCGTACAACATTGGTTTATGGCTGAGTAGAGAAACTTAAGTACTTTATTTCATCCGATGGGTGATGGCAACACCGTATATGGCGCGACTCGCTAGCGGTTGGCGTAAATGTAGGCGTTTGGTGTATTAAATCATAATTTTTCCTGTTTTTATTGCTATTGGTTTTCGAGTGCTTCCTTAGAGACTGAAGATACACACACATACGCATATTATATGTATGTGCACATAGCGCCCTTGGATATGCTACTCCAAACACACCTACAAAGTATCCAGTATTTTTATCTTAACATATCTTTGGCGTGGGAATTTGTGGAGAAGTGCCTAAATAATATTGCATAAAGCAGCGTTAAAAATAGCAAAACAAGTTAATATATACGAGCTTGGAAAAAGGTGTGATTAAAGTATATTTTTATTTAAGGTTATGTTGTAATAGTTATGGTAAGTGCTGAAGATTTTAATTTTCTAAGAAATATACTTACATTTTGGAAAAATTTTAAGGGTCGAAGAAACGAAAAAATATTAAAAAAGTGAAAGTTTTAGCTGATACAACTTGTAAATAACAGCAAGAGAGCCATTAGTTGATAGCCGTTAGTCAGAAAAAAATGGGGAGGAGTAGCAGTAGTAGCGATTGGAAACTACTTATGTTAAATATATTATTTTTTTATTTTGGGTCTATAGCTGAAGAGCATTAGTGATTGAAGTGGTAATCAATATTTAATTAGACGAAAAAAGTAAACTCAGACACACAACGCCTAAAAGTATGCCAGTTATTTTTAAATTATACTACCTTTTTGAGAATTAAGTGATTTAAATGAATAGCATAATAATCAGAGTAGCCTTTAATGTCATACATTTTTTTTTTAATTGCAGTTTTTAACTTCCCAGCGTTCCAGATGACCAATGAAAATATTTACTGAGGCAAATGCACTGAAATGAATCACGACTTCGATTTTCATTATTTGTAGTATTTATACACTGAACAGGATATATTAAGTTTACCACGATGTTTGTAACACCCATTAAGTACAATATTTATATATAAATAATCAGCGTGGCAAGATGAGTGTCTATACATATGTATGCGGATCAGTCTCTTAGTTTATGATATATCAGTTTGAAATTTTGCACACGTCGATTTCTACCCAAGAAGCTGCTCATTTAACGAAACCACCGATATCGGCCTACTATAGCATTAAGCAGCCATACATACTGATCGAACAAAATCATTTTAATTCGAGCATTATACAATATTAATTATTTAGGCATTGTAAATAATTAAAAATGCACAGAAATAATAGTACTAAACGAGTGTATAATACTCTCAAAAACATAAATAAATATAAACAAAATTTAAAGTTTTTAAATACATCAACCTTTTGCTCGCTGTTGATATCTTCTTCATGGTACATTTAATATTAAATTTGCATAAATGCGGATTTTCGTTATTAAAAAATTTTAATTACCTTTTCAACTGTTGTCCAACGAATGTCTGTTTGTCCATATACTATACATATGTATACGAGTGTAAGTTTGTTTGTATGTTTGTTGTTCTACACCGAAATGCTTGAGTGTAAATTTTTTTCGTTGGATAGATTGGACATTTCAACGAAATTCCCACGCACACACAAAGTTGACGAGATATTTATGAATATTATTGCTACATTGGACGCTCGGCGTTTAATCATTATATGCACATACATACTCTTATAAGTGTGTTAATGTATTTCTCCAACATTTGGCGTGCATTTTTTTATTCGTTTTTTTTTTTACTTTTCTTACAACAAAAAACATTTACACAACACATATGGTGCGACTATAAACTATGCACATCAGAAAGCAAGCAAATCCACACACATACACAAAGCAGATGTTTCATAATTTTAGCATCTTCACATTTTGTTTCCCAACCGCATTGGCTGAGTTGTGTTTTTGCAGCTATTTTTACCTAATTTCCACTCAAAATTGCTAAACATTCGCACTATTGTTGTTTTTGTTTACCTTTATATTTTATTTTTATGTTTTTTGCAGCGCTGTGCTGCGAGTGCCTGTTGTTTTTGTCATTTGTCATAGCGGTGCTTGTGCTGCTGACATTAATTCTTTTTTGCTCATGTATTTAAGTATATTTATACTTTGAATTGTTGGCGTGCGTGCGTTGGCTTGAAGGCGGTGATGTGAGTGAGCAAAATCAAAATGTAGTTGTATGTTATGTGTATGTGTGTGTGAACGACCTTGCCTTGCGGCAATTGTGCTGTAGCGCGGCTAAAGGCTTTCCAGCTTAATATCTGAGATTTTTAAGGCAAACTATTTTGTTTAATTTTTCGCAATTAGTAAAAGTTTTTTATAATTGTTTTAAAATTTATTTTATTTTTCTTTTAAGTTGTTTACTTCAAATAACTTTAGTAATTTTTTTAATTTATTACTTTAGTTATTTTATTTAATAGTTTTAATTTATTAAATTACTTTATTTCAACAAATTTATTTTTTCAAAATTTCTATTTTTAATTAATTTACTTAAAATAATTTTAAAATAATTTAATCTGATTTTGATATATACTATTATAAACATATTTTTTAAATTTATTTTATTGTTCATTTTATTAAAATTAAGTAAGTAATTATTTTTTGCTATAATTGCTGGCGTTGTGCGTTATAGACACAATTTATTTTAATTGCCTTATTTAATCCTCTTAATTTATTAAATTATATTATTTGGACTATTTTTAATTTATATTTTAAATTTTTTTATTTTATTTACTTCTTATTGTTATTCTTATTTTTGCTAAAAATACTATAATTTGATTTTTTTTTTATATGTTAAAGATTATTTTATTTATTTACTGGTTATTTAATTTTTTTATTTTCTTAAATTTATTTCAAATCTAATAAGAGCTTTCAAAAATTTTATAAATTATTTAGTAAAAAATTTATTTATTGTTTTTTTTTTATAAAATTTGAGTTAATAAGATTTGAAACTTTTAGAATTATACGAATCATTTCTTTAAAATTTTATTTAATTTCACTTGTTAATAATATTTTAAAAATTAGTCAGGTTTATTTGAAATTTTTTTTTTTTTATTGTTATATTTTTCATTCATTATATTCAATTTATTTTTTCGTTATAACTTTTGCAATATTTTCTTTAATTTTTCTAATATATTTTATAATTATTAGAAATATATTTTTTAATTTTTTGTTTTTATTAATTTTTGTAAAATTTTAATCCTTTTTTTATAATATTTAAATTTTAATTAATTCTATTTATAGAGAAATATAAAATATGCATTTTAAATTTTTTATTTGTTTAAAATAATTTTTTTTTTTATAATAATTTACTTTAATTTATTTATTATTTGTTTGTTTTTTTTTTTTAATTTTGTGTTCTTAATTTGTTATTAATTATTGTTGGTTATTTAGTATTTATTTTCAATAATTTTATTTATAGGAAAATATGTAATATATAGATTTTCCAATATTTTTTTCTTTGTGTTATTTATTTTTTATTATAAGATATTATTTTTGAATACATACATATGTATACAATTTTTAAAATATTTTATTAATATTTTTGTAATTATTATTTCATTTTATTAATTTTTAACCAACTTAAATTCACTATTTATTTTATTTGAATTTTATTTATAAAGAAAGATATAATATATACATATGAATGTACAAAGATTTGCAAACATTTTTTTGTTTTTTTTTTATTAATATTTTTGAGAGTAATTGTTTTTATTAACTGTTAAATAATTTTAATTAATGTATTACAATATATAAATATTAAATATTATACATTTATGTCTATTTATAGGCGAAAATATATTTTAAATATTTTGTCATTTGCTTTTTATTTAAATTAATTTACTTATACTATTTGTTTTTGTATAATATATATTTTTAAAAATTGTGCTTTGTGTTAATAAAATATTTTTTAATAACTTCATTACATTTAAGCTTGTTATGTTAATTTTTATATTAATTTATCTGTATTTAAAATTTATTTTATTTGCTACTTGCTACTTAATATTCAATAAATTTCCAACCCAAATAAAACACAAGCAACACAAGATAAACACAAATAACACTTACAAATCAAGCGAAAAATTTAATTAATGCACCTTTTAAAGCGCTTAAGCACTCTTCACCGCACACAAGAAATTATTTATTTATTTATATTTAATGATTAGTCAGAAATCGGCGCGCTAAAACCGCAACAACTGCACTTCATAAATGACATTGACACTTTGTAAACACGCCGCTTACACAATAACAACAAAAACACAAAAACATTCACTTTTATTTACAATTTCTATAATATTTATTATCGAATTCGCGTTGGCTTCCGCGTCCGCGCGATACTTTGAGCACGCTGCTGCAACGTTATTCGAGCACACTAACGTCGCTCGTGTATCCACATACACACACATATATAATATAAAGTTTACATATTTTGTTAATACACGTTTATGGCGCGTTGTAGCTACGACAAACACGTCCACGCCACTTTAAAAGCCATGGAAAACTGATGCCAACACCGTCGTTTCGCATGCTTTTGTTTGTGTGTGGGCCGGCGAAAGAAAAGCGATTTGTACGATGCGACGAAGATGTTAAAATGTTACTGTTGGCGCTCAGCTGCTGTCATACACCATACACATGTTAAATGTGTGGAGCTGTTAAGTTAACAGAAATCCTTTATACACCAGTTATTAGCAGAGAACGTGAACGAATTCTTGTATGTTCTCTGTTATTACAGCAATTGTAGGTGGTCTGTTACATGCTCTGCTCACACAAATGGCACGTGCTTGTCGTGTGCCTGTTTATAGTTAACAGTTGAACGTTATTTAACAGTTGATAGCAAGCATATTTAAAGGATTTGGTTATTACATGGAGTTCACGCATGTTGATAAGGGTTAATGAACATTTACATAAATACATGCCAACAAAACAAGTGTTTGTATTAGGTTGGGTCGTATGTGCTGATTTAATATTTTTGTAAATATCTGTAATTTGATTAAACTACAAAAAAAAACTGTTATTTTCAATTTTAAATCAAGCAGAAAATTTAATATAAAAAATTTAAATTATTATATGTTGTTGAAGTAAACACTTTATTACTTTGATTAAACATTCAGGTTAAACTTAATTTTAGATTTAAGCTTAAAAAACATTCTCGACCGACTAAAAAATTATTTTAGGAAACTAAAAAATTATTTTTGAAAATTTTTACGAGAAAACTACTGGTATTCATGCTTTAAAAATACAATATATTTATACGCAATTAATGATTCAACACCAAAAATTAAAAAAAATATTAATAATTTGTAATGAGTTATTCGCTATTTTCCAAACGAATCAAAGGATTTGTCATCGAATTACAACTGTAGTTAATTTCAAAAATCTAGTTTCTTGAAAAACGCGCTTAAAGATAAACTAATAGAGCTAATTAAACTGAGCGGCTACACTTCTGTAAACTGTAACTCAAAAAATATTTGAAATATTTATTTAAAAATTTAGTAAGTTAATTTTAAAAGTATGTACATACATACTATCGAATAAAGCAAAATCAAAACAAATTTATATTTTCGAAGTTTCACACTAGGTGTGCCTTTTAATAAAAAAAAACTTTATTTGTGAAAATATTTTTTTTTATGTATGTAAATAATACTTAGAGTAGTCTATTACAAAAATTATTGATTTATTGACAGTAACTACAAGCAACACCTTAACACTAATACTAAAATACATATGTACATACACACATGCATATAAACATGCTGTATAAATATTAGCAGAGAGAATAAGATAATTATACTACAACAGAGTATTTGTAGATGCAGTTGTTTGTTAACATTACATGAGAGAACCTTAACCAAGCCAACACTGCATAAATAAAATTTTTAGCACACTTTAAGGCGCTTTATCCGAGGATAACTTGAACGAGAAGAAATACCAAATTTAACGCTTTCTTCCGTCTTTTTGGTCCAAATATAAAAAATATGGCAACGCAAAATAGTTTCGAAAGCATACTTAAACCTAGAGAACCTGCAAGAAATATAATATTTGTTAAAAACTTTGTCAATAAGTAGAAACTTTTCTGATTTTGGATTGAGATGCAGATTTTTTTTAGACAGAACAGAGGAAAGGCGATTTTTCTGGATATGAAATCCCTCTAATGTTGTAGCGGTTACTTCAGCCACGACAGTTAGGTCAACATAACCAAAACGAACCCCGATTTATATACGAGCAATGTATGTCACCTTAACCAAATAATTTTGGTAATATTTTATACTGTTAGAACAACCTACAGTTAGTCATACAACGGTATGTTGTGTTTCGTAGGTTTCGACAAAAGTGGAAACGTATATTTTTGAAGTGACATGCGCGGTTCCCCGAACAGCCGAGTCTATGTAACCAGTATGAACCAATATTTTTATTCAAACAAGGAAAATAATTTTTTCGCTGTGAACGATGTCAAGGCAAAGTTTGTAGTAAAGCGCTTAATTTTTATCATATATACATATGTATATATGTATATACAAATAAATAAGCTCATTATAAAAAAACAACATAGTACTAAAGGAAAATAAATTTTTTCAGCCATTTTATCGTTTTGAATTCGTCGTAAAAAATTTATTTAAAAAATACACGTTTACAAATTTTTTCGAATGACGAAACTTCTTAATTTACCTTTATCTTTGGAAGTCCTTTTACATAGTCTATATACATATGTATAATTTGAAAAATAATAAAGAAAAATTGAAAGCTTGCGTTACCAATCACATGGAAGGAATATAAGTAAAAAAAAAAAATAAACTAAAATTTATGTATTGTACTTGTATATATGATATATATAGAATTAAGCATACATATACGCTTTCATTATGCCGCGTACACACGTAACTTATTTGGAAATATAAACAAAAAGGTAAGATATTTGAACTACAAATACCACAATATGCGCAAAACTACTGCTGTATACTACTCCAACTTCTGCAATGTGACACGGGCTGCATGCAACATGCGTCGCGATGCTTTATATATCCACTTTTCGAATAATTTTGAATGCAAATAAAAAACTTTACGTATACCCGACTGTATAATCAGTTTGGCACACTCATTGCAAGGCATCAATGTGGAATATATGGTGGCGTCGCGTAAATCTGCTGATTGTGCAGAGAATATGGCTGCCGATTCAGCATGTATGACATAGGTGAGTTTATTATTTAAGTGATTCCATTTATCTTTGCTCCACGGATATGGTTCGTTCGTGTAATTAGGTGGAAAATGATTGTAACCAATACCAATAAGGCGATTTTTACGATCCACAATGCAAGCGCCCACTTTCGTTTTAGGATCATCACTGCGTGTGGATGCCAAGAGGGCAATTGCCATGACAAATTCGTGATCTGTTAAAAGTTCATTATTGCCTACACTTATAATACGATTTTTATTATCTAATACGCATGCTTCTTGTCTGCTATTGTTCAAATTTGTATTGCGTTTCACAGCAAGTTCATAGATTTCATTGTGAAATGTTTTATCTGTTAGAAGATTTACGCAACCTTTGTCTGCATAATGATCTAACGGTGAAGTTGAACGAAAAGAGGTTGAATGTAACTCGTCGCTAGAATCCGAAGTTAAGCGACAGCAACTGTCGCCGCTGCTGCTGCTGGAGCTGTTCGAGGTGGTGGACTTTGGTGAGGTCGTCACATCGTAGTTATGTTCAGTCATTGCATGTGTTTGTGACTAGAATAAAAAAAATTGTTAATGCTTTTTTTTTAATAAAATTAAATTGTACTATGTAAACGATGCATTATGATGCCGCACGCTGAAACTAATTCGTACGGCTTTTATTCGTTTGTAAACTCAGCAGACTGCTTTTGCTAGATTAGATATAATATACTAAAGAAAAAAGATAAGGCAATAAAGTCTTTACAATTTTAAAACTTACATGTGCGTTTGCATCAGTAATTTCTTAAAAGTATTTTTTTTATTTTTATAATTCGTTTTTTATACTTTAAACAGAATGTAATAAGTCTGCCGTGTACGTCTTTCTGACTGTATATATACGAGCTAGAACTCAATTATTGAGATATCGCTTTGAATTGTTGCATACGCCCTTTTCTCTTCAAGAAGCTGCTCATTTGTCGGAACTGCTGATAACGGACCCCTATAGCATACAGTTACTGACAATAAAATAAAATAAAATAAAAGGTTCCGAAATAAGTATACAATCTATATTAGTTGTCCGATAAATTTCGGATATGTTTTGCCTGTAATCGATTCCTACTATATTTATCTTTTAAAATCAGAATCAAGGAATAAAAATATCAAATATAGGCGTTATTTAGTAAAAAATTATATTGTAAAAATATAATCTTTGGAATATTTGTTAAAACTTGACATTTTGTTACAATTAAGTATTATTTGTAGAAGAAATGGGCCGAGGACAGCACAGCGGCAGAGCTTAAGCTTATAAAAAATTTGCAAAATAACGCTTATACCGTTATTATAATTATAAAAAAACTTTAAAAATATACAATATGTTTACTGCTTTGAAATCTCCAAAAAACAAAAATTCAAATGAAGGGACGGCTACGAAAAACGACGTCTCAGCATCATAATTACATATAGATTTTATCAAAACGCGATGCTTTCAAGTTCTCTGTAGCTAATCAAAGAGCATTAAGTGTAGAACTTTCTCCGCGAACTGTTGCGCGTCGCCTTTTAGAAAAGAATCTCTGCGGCAGGTTGTCCCGGAAAATCCCAATGTTGACAAAACCGTCAGATCAGAATCAGATTGCTTTTGCTCCGGCGCATAACAATTGGACCGGTGAAGAAAATACAAAAAAAAAATGGCGTAAGATCGTTTGGTCCGATGAATCTAAAGTAAATATGCTAGGTAGCGATGGAAAAAATTGGGTTCGACGTTCGAAGAATGCTGAAATGAATACACGACAAAAAGTTTCAAACACGGAGGTGGTAATATCGTGATATGGGAATGTTTTTCGTGGTACGGAGTTGGACCGCTGTTTTGGTTTTAAGAAATCAGCATGACAATGACCCGAATCATAGCTTGGGTGTGGTCAAGACCTGGCTACAGGATCAAAGAATCGATGTTATGATTTGGCCTTTTCTAGATTTAAATCATATAGAATACCTGTGGAAGATTGTAAAGAAACAGTTGGGACATATTAAACCACTAATTAAGGAGGAACTATGGGAAAAAGTGAGAGGCGTGAAGCGAATTCAGTCTGTAAAGCGCTAGTGGAATCCGCGCCGAAAAGGTGCGCTGCTGTACACGCAATTAAAGGTTTTGGAACAAAATTCCAACTTATATGTATTTTTTAATTATAATAGTCTACTATTTACGAGTTTTGGTTCTATGATTATATTTTATTTGTCAATTGAAATTACTGATAGTTTCTTTAAAAGTTCTCTGCATATTATATTCAAATTTTTATTTAGTTATTTTTGCTTTTGAAATGTTTAAAATAAATCTTATTAACTATAAAAAATAATTATTTCCTTCTAAGAACTGTGGTAACACTTGTTTTTTTTTTTGTTTGCAAATACTTAGTTGTGAATAAAACTTGGCTTCTATTTTATTGTCAGTAACTGTATATGTATGTACATACCTGCCACACAGGTCAAGTTATCGTATGAAAAACTCTTTATTTGACAAGGTATCTTTACGAAATTAGCACAGATTATTGTCCAAGGCAACGCTACAATCTCCGAACAAATTTTTCAGATCGGATCACTGTCGCATATAGCTGATATACATACTCAACAATCGGAATTAATTGTTTATATAGAAGCTTTATATTTGTAAAGGGTAATTGTAATATTTTATTGTTAATTATTTTTGCAGCACTGCCGAAAAGAGTAGTTATACTCTTAAACTCTTATGAAACAAAATAAACGCAAAACATTTACAGGCACGGTATATAGTCGTATACATATATACATACACAACTTTTATTATAGTTATCAAAAGCAGAGCTTAACAAAAAAATATTTCAGTCGAGCATTTCTAGTGAAAAATATGCGTTCGTTTTGTGCAGCAACTTTTATAGCAGTAATAATCTTGCAAAGCCACGTCACTTATGCAAGAAGTAAAGACGTTTTACTAAAGTTTTGCTTATTAAAGCAAATAATTTTTGTTTTCTTTCAGCGCGTTACGAAGTATTCGACCTACACGATTGTCAACAAAATGCAGCTGTAGAAACTGAGTATACTGCACAACCGATCACTGCTGATTTCACCTGTGCCGCTTTTTGTAAGCTTCGCGAATTTCCACACGGCGGTTGCGACTGTGTGACAAAGAAATGTGTTTGTGCAAATATGAATTTGAATTTCTGCGATTTTCAGCTGATAAGATTGTTTATCTGAAAGGATATTATAAAATTGCACCAAACAAATAAATTTCAAATCAAAAATAATTAATAAACCAACTGCACATAAAGAACATATTTTGGGCCTTTAAAGTTTGCAATTATATTTGTTGTAAATTTCAATAAATTCATTTCCTTTAAATTTACAGTACATATTGCGAAATTTCTATTAATATATGCATATGTATAAACCAATGTAATATAATCAATACTTTTTCAAATGGAATTTGCTTAGTAAGTAAACAACTTATTCACTAACTGCCTTTGTGAATCCAATTTGCACAAAAAAAAAAACAAAATAAGAATCAGCACAAATGTATTGTAAATCTTAGACCGAAATACTATTAATGAACTCGTTTATATGTGTGAATATTTTAGTGCACTAAGGCTTTTTTTCGGTTTTACTTGTAATAACTAAGCGGTTTTTAGTGGGATGGGATTCTGCTTTAAATGCAAGTATATGGAACGCATACGCGATACATCCTTGCCTGATTTGTTCACTTTTGGATTGAATTCGCACAATTTTGCAATGCGTTCCCATTCGGTGCCCGGTTCCAGTGGACCACCATTTTCTAGCGCTGCTGCTTGTTTTTCCGCATTACGTGATGCAGCTTTTGTTTTAGCAATTGATTCTTCAGTTTGGCGCAACCAATCATCTAATTCTTGTTTAGCTTGTTGACGCAACTCTTCTTTCTTGCGTTCTTCTTCGCGATCCTTCTCTTCAAGTCGTTGTTTTTGTTCTTCACGCCATTTTCTTATTTTCTCTGGTTCAATACGTGAGGGTGGTGGCCCTGAAATACCGACGGGTTCATTCGATTCGCCACCTATCATTTCAAAGCTACCAGTGGATGAGCCGAGTCCACCACCCACCACATTGGCTGCAAGATCATCGCCACCAAGAAGACCATTGCCATCGGTGCTGGGCGGTCCGCTTGCAACAGTGCTTGCAGGTGGTACTATTTCGGATTCAAGATCACCGAGCACTGATTGTTCACGTGCTAAGAACTCTGCGGCTGGATCAACCTCTTCTTTGGGTGCAAAATCATCACCAAAATCCATTTTGAAGAAAGGCAGCTATCACTGGAGAATTAAGACAATAAAAATTTGGGGCGTATTGTACTACATTTTCTATAGCAATTACACGTAGGCAGATTTAAAGCCTTAACATTGTCTTAGCAAACGCAAAGTCGGCTTTAAATTGTGATATTTACCTCAAGAATAAATTAAGTTCAGTATTTTTTTACTTAATTCTCACTTGGTTGAGTCAGCACAAAAAAACTTATATTTTGTAAAAAGCAAAATTAGCTGTAAATTTCTCCCAATCAATGCGTAAATGTTTAATCTTCTTCTTTAGCAGGCAATTGTCATTGAAAAACGTCAGATATGACGAACGAGCGAATGAGACAACACTTGCCAACGAAAAGTTTAAAATCGAACAAACCTGCACAACAAAGGCCATAAGCATAGTAATATATTTTTCCCGTAAAGCTTCTGATCGCACAAACGCAACCACCTAACTTATTAAATACATCCAACTTACGACAATCTCTCACCTTTATACGAACTTTAATTTGTCTAGATTTATTAATATGTCAATAAAATTAAGAGTAATAAGTTTAACACACAAAGTGTGCGAAAAATACTTAGTACACCTTCAAAAAAGCGGGAAAAACAATCGGCAAAACAAATTCACGATTGCACTGTATTGTCAAATTGCAATTCACAGCTGATTACATAGGCACAGAATGACTTAGAGTTTCGAATATCACATTTATAAAATTTTGATAAGAAAAAGTTGTAATTAGTTTTAAGTAAACTAAAATCTGCTGATGGTCAGAAATATAAGGCTAACATAAATAAATATATATGTGAAGGCATATTTTTCATGTAATAAACTCTAATTTTTTTGAACAAAAGATTTAATATAAGCGCATTTTCCAAAATTTAAAAACTTTAACAAATCCACTGCAACCATGCAATGCTGTTCGTTTTTATGTATTTTGACATTTTTCCGCCATGCTTTGACTGCCAGAAAATACACACTTTCGGACTAGCTAGCCTCGGTCGAATTCGGAGTGGGAATGTTTTTCTCAAAATGGCGCTCGGTCAGTATAACGAGTAGACAGAATAGATGACGCGAAAAAGTGAAAATTGACAACAAAAACGTGATATTTTTGTAAAAATTTTAATTGCAAAGTCTACCCAAGAACTTTCCTAATAACGGTGAAGTGAAGTTTATTACGTGAATCCATAAAAAGTGTGAAAAAATTGAAATTCTACATAAAGTCAACGTAACGAGTTGCAGGAGAACGCGACGAGTCACGCAAGGCAGCGACAGCGTTGGGCAACGGCGCACAGAACGACCGGTCGAGCCGTTTTGCCGTGCAGCCACAACACGGTCGTAATCCAGCTAGATACATAACGCAAGACAAAGTACATATTTGTGGTGCTCCACTGGTTTGCGAATACTAAGTGAGCGGGTTTCGGTGTAGTACGGGACAAGTAAAAAAAATCCCCAAACTAGAAGTTTTTTCGCACTGCATATAACACCAATCGGAAGCAAAGCAAGTGCGTTTTGTTTTTGTATTGTTGTGGGGAAGCGTTGAGACATAATCGGCATTGAAATTTTAGATAAAGCATTATTACGTACATTTTATTCAGCGATGAACGGGTTATGCACTAGACTAGCAATTTATTGTGTTTGGTGTGTGTAATATGATTTTTTAATGCCTCCGCAGGCAACTCGTCGAAATGTAATATTTTTGGCGCTGCATATCTAGGTATATATATTTTGTTTTCGTATGCAATTTTTTCTGCTTTATGGTGTTAAATTGCAACCCCACAACAATAGAATGTTTCTTGCTCTTTATTATACTTGTGTATTCTTATATTTAATCAATTTCGTTCAACAGTCTTAATCACACATTTACTACAAAAACTTTTCGTACATCAATATGGATCCCAATTCAAGTCCCTGGTCCTATGCTTATAATCGCATTGTGCCATCTGCCTCCAGCACTGGATCTGCAGAAGATTTTCAACATCCACACTTGGCGCCTGCCCAATCTTTATTTCTACAGGCAGCACATTCTGGTATAGCTGCTAGCTTTAATGCCGCAGCTGCTGGCAGCGGAAGTTTTGTATCACCTTCACCCATTGGCGGATATAATCCAGTCTTTCAACAAATCTACCATCATGCGGCTGCAGCTAGTGCACAACCAAAACCAGCCCACTACGCCTCAAGTGCTGTAAATACACCAGTGCGTCAAATACAAATACCATCAACGTTAGATAAGCAATTGACGAATTTTCAAAATCAAGCCGCTGTCGCTGTTGTATCTTCAGCTGCCGCTGCAGCAGCAAATAATGCTGCTTCTAATTACTATGGTGAAAATTCCTCATCGAGCGGTGCTTCGCCATCGCCCACAACATCAGCAATTACATCAACAACGCTCAGTTGGAATACACCGATGATATCCAATACATTTCTGGCAATGCAACAACAACAGCAACAGCATCAGCAAACGCAACAGCAGCAACATCAACAACAACAAGCGCAACAACCACAGTTGAATTTAGTGGCCGAGAAGGTGGTGAGTAGTATGTTGGGGAGTTTGGTTTTAAGTCTGAATGCAAAGCCTTTATATTTGTTTAAATTTCAATTACGGCCTGAGTTCTTTATTTGTTTAAACTTGCTGCTCAATTTTATAACCTTTGAAGCTTTGTATAGAGGTGTAAAGACTGGGCTGTATACGATTCTACTCTCTTTTAGTTAAATTCTCAGGTGCTTTATACTAATAATTAATGTAAGATCGAAAAATAATGAAATTATATTATATTATTGATTTTGTTTTATTTTTTTCAAACACTTACACTGAGAGTTACAAAACCAACCTGTAATGGATAGTACATTGATTGCTCTTCTAAGTTCTATTTTAATATGATTGATATTTAAAGTAAAACTTTAAAATTTGGAAAATTTGAACCGAATTCAAAAGATTCTAAAAGTATATAAGTCTACATAGATTTCACATAAGCTTATTCAACTATTACTGTTCAAGAAAAGAAAACTCCTTTTACTGCATATGAAATCTCCGCATACGTATGCGTACATACATTTATTAAATCATAAATATAAAAATTCACCGAAAACTCAAATAATATATAACATCATCTACAGTCACAAACACATATAAACTACAGTCAAATAAAATCAATTGAATTCTTGCGACGCCTGTGTTGCACATTTTCAGCAAATCAAACAGGAGAAGCCATCCGACCTAAAAGCCTATAATGATATACTTTTATATCAGACGCAACTACATCAACAACAACAACAGTTGCAACAGCAACAACAACAACAGCAAGATGAAATTAATGCTACAATTGACAATGATGCTGAAATGTATTGTACTATTGATGGTAAAAATTATAAAATTGTACGCAAAGGTCAACAACAACAACTAATACAAGTCGATCAAATACATCAGAACGATGTAAATAGTTCATATGCTGCTGGCAGCACAACACCAGCACTCACAGTTGCTGTCGATAATGCTGTCTCACCACATGTAATTGTCTATAAGACAGGCAGTGGTGGTGGTGCTGAATCGCCGGCCTTGCGTCGTAATATTGCAGGTGCAGGCTCACCAGCTTCAGCCACAGTTGCTTATTCGTCTGTGATACAAAGTACACCGCAACAACAGCAACAGCTGCAGCAGCATCAACAACAACAACAACAGCAACACGTTTCAGCGTGTTGGACTAAAATCGAAGATACCAATGGTTCGGCGGACGGTGGTGCTAGTACGGAAGATGTGAAAAATGTTTTGCAATTACAAGTGAAACAAGAAAATCGTCAATTGGGTTATGTCACTGATAATGATGTGGGCGAAAGTTTGATATTCAATTTGCCACCTGGACTTGAAATTAAACAAACTCTGTATAATCCAAATACGGGTGCCCCAATTAGTAATTCGACTGTGTTGCAGCATACGCAACAACAACAAGCACAAGCTCAAGCGCAGCAACAGCAGTTGTTAGCGCAGCAAAATTTGTTCAATAATCAAAAATTGCAGCAACAACAACAACAGCAACAACATGTCGAAAAGCAACGGCGCCAGCATATGGTGGCTAATATGTTGGTATCGCCTACGGCGAATACAAATAATCAACAACAACAGCAGCAGCAACAACAACAAACTTCTTCCTCCCAAGCGTCACAGATTCAAATCATACCCAAGGTTTGTATTTTATGATTTTCGATTTGTATATTTTCTTGAAGCCTTTTGTTAAATTGTTCCCTGCATTCTATGCATCTTTTATGTGCTTTAATTGAATTTGATTGTTATTACAATTTTTTTTCGCTAATGTTTTTTTTTTTTTTTTATTTACTTTTCTTTATTTACGTTTGCTTTTAACATCTAACACACAAACTACTAACACTTGACGCACTCATTCTATTTCATTATATATATATATATATATATATATATATATTATATATAAAAATATTTAATTGCGCTGTGCTTAAGTGCGTATGCAATGTTTTTCCATAAGTTGAGTTCAGTTCGAAAAAGCTGAATAAATAAAAAAAGGCATCATCTCAGTTGTGTAAAATTGAAAATATGCTAAAGGGTGTAAATGTCACATGAAACTTTTTAACTGCAAACAGTTGTATAATAAAAAAATATTTATGTTGCTGTTGACAATTGGCTAATATTATCTTTAGTAAAGCAACCATTTCATCATTGCATAGCTCGTTGTTTAGGTGATTTGGTTACAACACTTTTTCATTTCATGTGTGCGTTTTTATTATTTGATATTGATTAATTAAAATCACATAATGCTTAAATAAGATTTAAAAAAAAAAAACACATTTTTAGTGACTTCACGTTTTCGAAATGCTTTCATATTAACCGGCATTAATATAACTAAAGTTGTTAAAACTTTATTAGAATAAAGAAATAAGAGCACATATGCATAGAAAACTTGAAAATTTCTAAAATATTATGGTAAAATTACCGAAAAATTAAATAAATATTTTTTTTTTTACAAGGCACACATTTATTTGCTTGTATACAATATCAAAAATTATTATAGTATTTAATCTTTCAATTTATTCTGTACTTTTTTTCAACGAAAACTTTTTTTTTTTTTTTATATTTTTTTTATATTTTTTTTTTTTTTTTTTTTTTTTTTTTTGCAAAAATTTTATTTACACATTTGGTGACAGCAAACACCCGTTAATATATATACAGCATAACCTAATACTAAATTACCGTTATTTTATAGCTAACCTACACTTTTTTTTTTGTTTATTTTCCTTTATTTTCTGTAATATTTTTATTCTTTTAACGTTGCCACCTTTTAACTGTGCTCATCTAATCGATTTTCATTTCTGTTTAACAAAAGGGAGTGAAACTAAACAAAACGAATTTGTATGTATTTGAACCTGTGACGTTTATTTCCAAGCTTTTGAGGAAGTTGCGTATAAGACGGCTGCTATAATATATAAAAATATACCGTTTTTAGTGGCATTGCAAATAAGTGGAAATACTCTACAACTGATTATGGCTTTTTTGACATTTCTACTCGATCCTAATGTTACCCTACAACATTTGCACAATTTTAATATTTCATCATGATTAATTACAGCAAAACATGCATTTTTTATTTGACAATTAGTTGTTAATTCCCATAAGTATATTAAGTATTTTTTTTTAATATGGAGAAACATTGCAGTACACCAGTGTTAGGTTTTGTGTGAAAGCAAGTGTAGTCGTTTAAGTAAAATCTGTGTGTTAAAAATAAAAGCATGCATCCACTGTGTCTAAAAATGTTTAATCTAGCCTTGATTTGTGTTTACGAGTTTAATGTATTTTTTTTTATTAATTATTATTTAATATATTTTTTTTTATTAATTATTATTTAATATATTTTTTT